GGGGCGGGCGGCGGTAACGCGGGCCGCAGTGTCGCAGGGATCCCGCCGAGCTGTGGTCGCCTCCGCCACCATGGGGCAGATCGAGTGGGCCATGTGGGCCAACGAGCAGGCACTGGCCTCCGGCCTGAGTGAGTGCGCGCCGAGACCTCGGGCTGCGGGCCGGGCCGGAGGGGGCGCCGAGACCTCGGGCTGCGAGCCGGGAAGTGGGGACTGAAGGCGGGGCTGGGGACCTGCAGCTGCAGGGCGGGCTCGAGGTGGGGGTGGGCTGCGGCCAGCCGGGCAGTCAGGGACCTTAGCCTGCGGAGGGGGTTCGGAGACCAGTCCCCCGGCTCCTGCCCACCCTCCAGCTGTCCCCTCCACGCTCCCCCACCCCCGCCCGGACCTCTCCACCGAGAGAGGAAGTTGCAGCTAGGGAAGAGGCGTTTCGTCATTGGTGGAGTCACTGCCCACCGGGATTGGGTAAACCCAGCAAGTGGACGCCCGTGGGGCGGGGGGGGGGGGGGGGGGGCTGCTGCCCGGGAGTGGGGGGGCTTTGCCCAGCGGTGGGGAGGGGCTCCCTGTCTTCCTGGGCCCTGGGTGGCAGGCACTCTCCATGTGGGGCCCAGCCCCCAGTTGCACAGAAGGGCATCTGGGATTTCATAAGGTGGCTGGAAACCCCCAGAGTGACCCGCGTTCAGCTCTGCTCCCAGAGAGACTGCTTCAGGGGAAGGGTGGCAGGGCCCCCAGTCACCCTGCCACCTGTGCTCAAGAGCTCTGATTAGGAAGCAGTGGGGTGTGTACCCCAGCTCGGTACTCACAAGCAGGAACCTCTCAGGACTGGGTGGGGTAAAGCTGAGTCAAGAGGGGGCCCAGAGGCTCTGCCTGGCCCCCCTCCAGGGACCTGCCACTCCCAGGAAGGGCCTGTGCCCAGTGGGGAATATGCAGAGAAGGGGGGCTCTTAGCCCAGCACCATTCCCCTGGGACCCCCTTGAGACCTCCTGCCACCTGGGGAGGGAAGGCAGACAAAGTCTCCCCAGCCCCACACTGTTGGATCACATTTTAGATCACAGGGTCTAGCGGTGTGTTGTATGTCCAGGCAGGTCACCCTTGCTTTGGGCATCTCGAGTGGCCAAGAACTCAGTGGGTTGGTCACATGGTGCTCCTCACTGTCCCCAGGCTGTCCACTGCAGACCAGCCTCCCAGGAAGTAGAGGGTTCTGGGCCCCGGAACCCCATTCTTTGAAGGCCACTGCATGCAGGCCAGCCGTCCTGGCCTTGGCTACAGCCTGCGGTGCCTTGGGACCCACACCTCTCTCACGTCCGCTGCGCAGACAGTGAGGTCAGGGCCTGGGCTTAGCCTTCTCCATCATCAAATCAAATAAGACCGTTTGTCAGAAGGTCCCCCAGAGCCCTGCTCTGGTTCCTCCCTTGCTGACTTTTCTCCTGGGTATAAACTGCAGCCTCCAGGGATGTCTCAGGCCTGGCGAGACCCTAGCCACAGTCACACCCCACAGATTTTTCTATTGTGGGAAACCCCATCTGACCCGATCTTGGCACCTGCTGCTGAAAGCCTTCCTGAGGTTTTCCTGTACACACACCAAAAGCCAGATTCGGGCTGCTCCGGGCCCTGAGCCTCCAGCTCCCTGCCTTGCATGGACTCTGTGCCCGGATCTCCTGAGCAGACCGCAGGGCCTTTGCGGAGCTGAAGACTCTGTGGCTGGCTGGCTTCTCCATTCGTTTCTCAGCTCAAGATGCCACCTGCTTGGAGGCGTCTTTCCAGAGCACCAGGTGCAGAGTAGCCCCAGACATTCAGTCACCTTCCCCCTCTTCTAGTTTTGATGTTTATTTCTGCTCCCCCTGACAAGACTATGAGCCCCACAATAGCCGAGGCCTCATCTTTCCATGTTGCTGCTGCGTCCTGCGGGTGGTAGGGTTCTATCAGCGTTTGGTGGCAGTGGACCAGTCCTCCTGCCTTCCTGGTGAATCAGTGGTGTCTGCCCCCCCTCCTGCTGAGGGCAGGCGGCAACACTGCAGCTCGGGATGGGGAAGTCACGCACCCAAACACAAGTGAGCTGGCTGAATGCAGAACACCTCCCTTCCCTCTTCTAGTCCCCCAGATGCTGACCAGCCAACAAAAAAAGTTAATATGTACCAGAGCTCGGCACCACCGGTAGGAAATCTGCTAGCCGAAAAGCAGAGTGAGGTTTCAAGGTGGTGTATCTGGGCTGAAGGAAGGGGCTCAGGCTCTTACCTGGTGGGATGTGGGGGCCTCTGCGTGGAAACAGGCGAAGCTGGGCTGCATGGCTGGACCGGGCTGGGGAAGGCCACCTGCACAAGAAACAGTAGGAAATGGTCCCCTCCAAGGACGCTTGGGACCTGCAGCCAGAGCTGGATTGAAAAAGTCCGGGACAAGGCAAAACCGTGGAAACTCAGGCCCGTGCTGTGTGTGGGAAAGGGCCTAATGTCCCCTACCCTGCGCCAGAGATTCCCATGCACTGGGCCCAGGCCTGGAGAAACCCCAAAGCCCCCAGCAGAGGCAAACGTGAAAGTTGTCTGCAAGGCCGTTTGCTCCCTGCGGCCGCAGGAAGCCTGACCCTGCCAGCTGTCTGCTCACCAGCCCCCCCGCCGCCCCCCCGCCCCGAGGAAGCACGCCGCCTAGGGTGGACCTGCTCACACCATGACAGAGCCAGAGCGGCCGAGCCGTCTGGAAGACCTGAGAACATGAGCACACGTCGATGCCTACCAGTATGTTCCAAACTGCTCCAGGAATGAAAGGAGCAGAGAATTATACAGCAAAACAGGACAGTGCAAAAAGTGAACTAATGCAGAACGTCAAGGAAGAAAAGTCATTAAAGGTTATGGATGAATTGAACATGCTATAAAGACGAGAGGATTCGCGGAATGGAAGATGGGGTTCAGGGAACCTCACAGCACGCAGCCCAGACACAGAGATGGGGTTATTAAAGAGAAGCTGAGCCCTGTGCAGGGGAGGGGGGCACCCTGTGGGCAGGAGTGGAGGGGAGAAACCTGCCCCGTGGACAGTGGGGGGCAGGGGAGACCCTCCCCGTGGGTAGCAGCAGGTGCAGAGGTGAGAATCAGGGCTCTGTAGGGTGAATGCCAGGAGGCAATACAAAAGGATAATGGGTGAGCATTTTCCAGAAATGGAGAAATCTCAGATTGAACGAAAGCAGAGTCCTTTACAGAATAAAGGAAAACAAATCCCTTTTTGGACACACGGTAATCAAATTAGAGACCATTAAAGAAAATATTAAAATTTGCCAGAGGGGAAAAGTGGCTTGGCATCAGACTGCAGATTTCTCTAGAGCAGCTGCCAGAAGGCAAGGGAATGAAATCTTAGGTGCGGAGAGGAAGGGTGGGGTCAGGACCCAGGCCAACTCATTTGGCGGGCTGCTTCCAGGCCTGCCCGGGGGGGACCCCCGAAGGATGCCCGTCAGCCGGGGGCGCCGAGTCCAGCAGACAGGACTGGCCACGAGGAGGGGGCCTTCGGGAATAAGCACCGACGGTAAATAATTAATCAACCATGGCGCGCGCGGCTTGGGGCTGAGGTGAAGCTGAAGTCCACACGTGATCCAGGAAGAGAAAGTTGAGAACTTAAGAGTTTGAGCATGTTAGCAGGAGGTGGGAAAAGCAACACCAACACCTGTTAAGGAGAAACGGTGAGTTCACATTGTCAGCAGCGCTCAGTAACCTGTGATGTTTCCTGTCAGGCTGGTGGAAGTATTAAAAACCCGGCTGTATCGACTCATTCGTAATCATGCAAAACGAGAAGCAACGGAAATGTCCCAAAGACGGGAGAGCAGATCAGTCCCTAGCGGCTGATAAACTAAAGCACAACACCGCATGGACGGCATTGATGAGTGGAGGCTGGGCACAAGGGCGCGGGGGGCTCGCAGGCTGAGGGGAGTCTTGACGTGGGTGCAGAGCACGTGGGGGAGCACCTCCCAAAGTCACCGAGCTCACGTAATTGTAGCTGGAGAAATTGCTGGAAGCTCTGGGGATGCTCACACAGGGGTGTGCCTGGACTTAGGACCTTAGACTTCAAAATGGCTACAATGGAACATTTCATGTTACAGATATTTTACCGCAATAAAAAAAGTTGTAACAAAAAAATTTCTGGGGAGAAAAGATCCAGACGAGGCAGCACCTCGCAGGCTCGAAATAGCTGACAGGAAGAGCCTGGGAGTATCAGTACCTGACAGCTGGGGTCCAGGTGAGACAGTTGGACAAGCGGGAGCACCATGTGGCCGGGAGAGATCGTCTGTCCACAGAAACACGGACAAATAATGTCATCTCGAAACACGGGAAGCAAACACTCCAAATGGCCAGGCATCCACAGAGCCCCACAGAGCGGGCAGCCGGGGTGAAGACCAGCCCCACCTGCCCGCTCCGGGCTCCGAGGCAGCTGCTGGGACGCGGACCCGGCTCCGTCCGCGCGCGAGCTGCTCCTTCAGCCCCTTGCCCGGCTCACTACCCAGCTCACGTGCTGCTTCCTAGGGCTCCCCCCGCCTGTGTCCCCTGCACAGGCAAGCGTGTTGTCCCACTGTGGAGCATCTGTGGGCATCTGTGGCCGACTGCTGGCCTCGCCGAGCGGGGGCGGAGCACACGGAGAGGGCTGGGGTGGGGGCGCATCCCCCTGGGGGTGGGGGACTCCTGCTAACCTGCTTCTCCTCTGTCCACAGTCCTCATCATGGGGGGCATCGTGGCCACTGCCGGCCAGTTCACCAAGTGGTACTTTGGCGTGTACTCCATGTATCCTGCCAGGGTAGACCCCGGGACGGGGGGGAGTGCTGCTCGGCTCGGGGTGGGGACGCGGCTGCCCCTGGGGGCACATCAGTTTCCCTGGGCCCGTTAGACGCCCCGCAGCTGTGGGGAAGGCAGGATAAGGCTCAGTCGCAGTTTGGGAAGCCAAGGCTGGGAGCAGGGGAGTGACTGGCCTTGAGGCTGGCACTGAGGCCTCGGGAATTCTGGGGGTGCCCTCTGTGCCCCCCTTCTATCAGCTGTCCCCCTGGGCAGCCTTGGGATCTGTCCGGGAGTGGGCTGAACCCCTGTGGCCCAGCTGTGACAGGGCAGCAGGCAGGAGAGTGGCCAGACTTGTTGGAACCTGTTTCCCAGCTGTCTGACCTCCAGGACGCAGCTGCACCCGTTTTCTCTTCAGCACAGGGGGCTCACCCTGGCCTCCAGGCTGAGCCCAGCTGTTCCTTAACGGCACGTTCAGTGGTGCAGGTGTGTTCGTCTGCCTGCTGGAGTACCCCCGGGGGAAGAGAAGAAAGGGATCCACCATGGAGAGATGGTGAGTCCCCCACCTCTGCCTGGGGGCCGAGGACACTCCTTCTGACGCTGCAGACGCCCTCCTGGGCAAACAGGCCAGAGTCCGCCTAGCCGCCGTGGCCCCTCGGTCTCTGGGAGGGAAGAAGCCGGGGTGCTGTGGGGGGGACGGGGGCGCTGCTGAGTAGGATACAGTCTGTCTTCTCTCTCCCTCTGCCTAGTGGACAGAAGTATATGACCAAAGTGCTGAAGGTGTTCGGGCCTCTCACCAGGAACTACTACATCCGGGCCTTCCTGCACCTTGGGTGAGCCCCCCTGCCCCCCACAGCCCCCTGAGGACCAGGACAGCCCTGGCATAAACCCTCCCCACCGCCTGCATCAAGTCAGCCCCATCCCCGCCCAGATACGCTTCCAGACCTGCTCTGTCCCCTCGTGCTGCGTAATGGCTCACGGCAACGCTAGGACTTAATCAGGAGTAGTTGGGGGGCTGACGAGGCTCACCTGGGCGGCCCTGCTCCCTGCCTTGTGCACGCGCCTGCTGGTTCCTGCCAGGGAGGCCGCAACGCCCATGGGCCTCGGCGGACGTGTGAGGTTCCTCCTGGCGTCGTGGGTGGGGGCCAAGCGCCAGCGCCCCAAGAGTTGTTAAAGTTCAAATAAAAGCAAAGAGGACAGCTCCAAGGGCCCAAGCGTGGAAGCCCAACCTTTTGCAGGACTGGGCGTGTCCTCCAGCCGGGGTCCTGGGGGCCACACACTATGTACGGTCTGTCTGGTCCTGGGGGTCCCGGGGCCGCAGACCCCTCCTGACCGCCCTGCCCCCCTCCCCAGGCTGTCAGTACCTGCTGGCTTCCTGCTTGCCACCATCCTGGGGACAGCCTGCCTGGCCATCGCGAGCAGCATCTATCTGCTGGTGAGTGGTACCCTCTGTGGCTAGCCCCGAGGGACCCTGCCACCTCCGTCCCCAAAGCCAGCTCCGCAGCCTGTGTCCTTGCTCGTGCCGTGACGGAGTCGGTGACTCCGTGGCCACCGTTCGCTGCATGTGTAAAGTGTGCTAACCCCTTTATCTGCGCCTCGGCCCCGCTTTGCAGACCAAGAAGTGGAAAGTCAGAGAGGTGACGTGGCTGGCCCAGGGTCACACGGCCAGCCAAGGCCCAACCCGATTGGGATCCGTTTGGCATACTTTTCTTATCTAACCCATCCTTGCTAACTTGGGGTGCCGTTGGGAGCACTTCCTGGGGAGCACGTTAACAGTACAGATGCCACGTGAATGTTTTCCAAAGCTGCCCCATTGGGCCTGCCCGGAGCTGGGACACATGCAAAGGCCCTGCGGTAAGGATGCACGTCACCCGGTCTTCACAGAAAGGCCGGCGGACTTGGGGAAGGATGGCATGGGCGGAAGTCTCGGGCACAGGTTTTGGGCCAGATGCTCATGCTTCTCTTGCGCTGCATGTTCATCCTTCCATTTGTGCGTGTTCTTAAAGGGGCGGCATGTTGTCTGTGCTCCGAATGCCCACGGTCCCAGCCGTTTCACTCCTTGGTGACCCGCCTGCCGGTCCCCCAGCGGGAGCCCTTCCTGTCTGTTTGCGGCTTCCTGCGTGTGGTCACGCGGTGCCGGGGGGCGGGGGGCGTCACCTGCATCCAGCCCCTGCACCCTCCGACCATCCACCCCCCACCTAAGGCTGGCTGGGCTGCTGGGTCCTACTTGCTTCCCTCCGCTGCGTGTCTGAGCTTTCTCTTAGAACTGCCCATCTTTCGAGGGGGCTTTTGTCTTTTCCTTATTAACTTGCAGGAATCTCGTGAATGTTCTGTGAGTGAATTTCAGACCCTGAATAGTTTCTCCGCCTCAGTGAGGGGTCTGTCACCTTTGTGTGTGAAATCCTTCCCTGGGCGGAACAGAAGTTTGTCTGTTTGCCCTCTGGTTTGTGCCTTTTACAGATGCCCTTTTCTGCCCGTAAGCCGTGTCTTTCTGCACTCTCTCGGATCCACTGTATAGTTTTCCTCTTCAGGGTAGATATAGTACTATTTAAGTTAGGAGGTGGGACCACGGATGTTCATTTTATTCCTCTGCTTCATAAGTGACATGTCACACTTTTTTACCAAGGATTGTGGGGTACAGATGAAAAGAACACGTTCCCAAGCCCTCCCAGCCCGCCGAGGGCTCTGCGTCCAGCGAGACCCCATTCTCTTCCCCAGCCTGCTGTGGCTGGTGCCCCCACGGAGGCCCCCTGCCCTCCCTGGCTGCCCCCATGGGCCACTCCCACCCTGTGGTCTCATGTCCTGTCCCGACCTTAGTCCCTGCGGGGGGGTGGGGGGTGGGGGGAGGCCTGGTCTTGGAGCATGCACCTGAAGGGCCTCCAGGTTGCCCTCCCCCCACTGTGGGGTCCTGCCTGGAGAGTGAAGCAGCTGGGTCTGGGGTCCTGGCTGTCCCTCCGGAATTAGTGGGTTCAGACGTGGGTCCTGCCTGGTTCCCAGGGGCTGGGGGGAGAGGGTGCGGGGGTGGAGTTGGCCTCTGGGAGGCCCGATCCATCCAGCCCCTCCATATCCTACAGGCGGCTGTCCGCGGAGAGCAGTGGATCCCCATCGAGCCCGAGCCCAAGCCCAAGGAGCGGCCGCAGGTGGGGGGCACCATCAAGCAGCCTCCCAGCAACCCCCCGCCCCGGCCCCCAGCCGAGGCCCGAAAGAAGCCCAGCGAGGAGGAGGCAGCAGGTGCAGCGGGCATTTCTGGTGGCCCCCAGGAAAACCCGGTCCCAGTAATCGACGAGGTCGTGTGACCCACGTCTCCAGCTGTCTGCCATGAAGCCCCCAAAATAAACCAGAGAGCAGGCTCCTGACTCTCCGCGTGCACCCCACTCCCAATCCGGGTCCTCCTTCAGCATAAATCCTGGATGGGCCACTTCTCGCCCTGTCTGCCTCCCCACCTGCCCATCCCGAAGGGCCACTGCCCAACTGCCAGGCTCCCACAGCCCAGGATGGACACGACCCACACCACGCCAGTCAGTGCCGCCTCAGGGATGCCTCTGGCCCGTGGCTGCGGGGCCTCCTGGACCCTCGGTTTGGAAGTGCAGCCCCTCCCCCTCCCTGTCCCCGGTGGTGTCCGTGGCCCGTGGGGCTCTGCCCTCAGAGCCAGCCACATGGTGGAAACTCGGTCACGGGCTGACGAAAGTGTCCTTCAGACCCCAGACAAAGGTCACTCCTCCTCCCTTCCCAGGCGCTTGTTTGCACACAGTAGGCCTTCATCAGGGGTGGAAATGGCTGGTCAGGCAGGGAGGTGCTGAAAACTGTCCTTAGATGGGCCGGGGAAACTGAGTCTCCAAAGGGGGGTCGTTGCCTCGCTGGAACTGCATGGGCTCTGATCCCGGGCGTTCTGCAGGCGGGGTCCAGAGGCTGGGGCGCCAGGCGGCCAGGTCAGTGCTGGGGGCAGAAGCCCCCGGGGCATCCAGGCAGCGAGACCGGCCTTCGGATCGGCCTGGGTGTCTGGTGGGGCTGGAGGGGACACTCAGACACTTGGAGGGGGACGGTGGCTGCACAGGCATGTCCCCCCGAGGTGACACCGCCAGCCGTGGGGAAGCGGGGTAGGTCCCCTTGGTGGAGGAGGGTCTGCCCACATCCTGGCCAGACCGGGAGCCCAGCCCTCCTGCCGTGCCACGGCCAGAGGTGTAGGGAGGTGAAACCCGCCAGGGCACGCAGGGCACACACGTCTCGCACGCTGGCTGCCCTCGGGGTTCATGCACAGACATTTCTGGAAGGACGCAGAATCTAGGGCCAGCGGCCGGCCCTGCAGGCCCAGCTGGGTGTCAGGGCCAGGCAGGGGTGAGGGCAAGGAGGGTGCCTTCAGCCACTGCCCTCTGCCGGCCGACGCTGTGCTCTGGGGGCATTTGTCAATTAAACAACACATTTTACACTTAAAATAAATAGGTGTTTTAGAAATACAGGGGTACTTGTTCCTGAGGGGCTGCTGGGAAGAGGAAGCTTGAGGGCCGGGACCAGCCTGGGGCCCGTGAGTGTGGGAGGGCAGCCCGGGGAACCACAGACACGGAGGGGACGTCAGAACACCTTTTGTTTAAGAAGTTCTGGATGAATAAAACGATCCCTTCTATCCCAACTGCCTGTGCACAAAGGGTAAACCGAGTCTCGAGATGGGCGTGACCCACACAGTGCCCCCACAGGCCCAGGGACACCGCTCTTCCATCGTTTGGTCTCCACCATCATTCCTCAGCCCCGAGGCCTGGTACCTGCCCGGGGACCCCAGGGGGCAAATAAATAACCAATAAATACGCATAAATAGGAGGGGCCCTCTTCGTAGACACCCCGACATCCGGTGTGGCCGGCGACGACAGCCAAGGCCGCTGCTCACTGTGCCGACCTGGGCAGGACGCAGGTGCAGCCGACGGGCACGCGGATGAACTCGGCGTGGAAGGAGAAGGCCCCGGGCGTGGGCACCCGCGAGGCGTCCCGCGAGCAGGGCCGGCGGCGGAACACCAGCAGACTCTGCAGCAGCGGCACGGAGTTGAGCGCGGCCGTCTCCCGGCCCGTCTTGGCGCTAATGCAGCCCCTGCACAGGCACTGGGCGAAGGCCAGCTTCTGTGGGTAGCGGCTCTCGTCGGTGTCCACGCTGCGGGGACGGCGGCGTGAGGCCCCTGCCCGCAGCCCCCCCGCCGCCGCTCGTGCTCAGGGCGCTCCTGGCCCACGTGAGCCGAGGCTGCGGGGCGGGTGGCACGGGGCCCCCACTCGTGAGGCTCATCGTGCCCCCCACTGCCCCCCCAGGGAGGCCCCCCACCCCCGACACGGGCCCAGCCACCCCTGCAGGGGCTCAAGTGTGGACCTCAGAATCATCCCGGGAACCCTGGGGATGGAGCCGCGCTGCAGTCTTGCAGACTGGGGCCCGCCCTCCCCGCCTGGGGGTGATGGCCCATCTAGCGGGGGGGGGGGGAGGGGGGGACACTGAGGCCCAGAGAGGGGCGGCAATGGCCCCACCCCACAGAGCAGGGACCCCTGTCCCCGGGGAGTCCCGCAGCCCTCACCGGTATCTCCAGGGCGAGATGGAGCGCTGGTGGATGTCGGCTTCCAATACCTCCTCAGGCCGCAGCACTGGGCACTGGGTCCCAGCCGGGGGCTCGTTCTGCCGCCTTCTGCGGCCCCCCACCTCCAGGCTGGCCACCAGGGCTACGGGCAGAGCCTGCTCCCACTTGGCAGCTCGAGCCAGCAGGTGGGGCGGGGCCTGGCCCAGGGGCAGCTCCTCAGCCGAGTAGCAGCGTGGGGTCCCGTGGGGGTGGGCCCCCGCCCAGAGCTGGGGGCCATGGTGGGCCAGGCTGGCAGGCAGCCAGAGCAGAAGCAAGAGGCCAGTTGGGAGCTGGTGGACAGGCATTGGGTGGTCAGGCCAGGGGGTGCCCAGGGAAGGGGGCACCTCCCTGCCCTCCCACCTTGCCCTATTTCCCATGGAACGATGGAGTGCGGCCCTCCCTCTACAGTTGGGGAAACTGAGGCCCAGAGGGAAACTTGACCCTCAGCCCAAGCTCCCCAGAGCACCAGAGCTCCTGGGCCCTGGCTCTCTCCTGTCCCCAGATTTGGGGGGCTTCCTGAACCCCGTGCCAACCTCCTCTGCTTGGGAGCCGGCGGCACGGGGCAGGCGGGGGCGTGGGGAGAGGCAGCGGCTCACGAGGCTCACCATCGCAGCAGGGGCGCTGGGCTCGGAGAGGCAGGTGCACCTGGCTGCGGGCCTGGAGGCTGCGGACCTAGAGGCTGCCCGGCTCCAGGTGCCCTTTATACCTCCAGTCACACCTGGGGAAAATCCGGAGCAGCTTCCTCCTGGGGAAGTGCCCGGCCGCGCTGCTTCCTCCTCCCCTCCCGGTGGGTCCCCGGCCCCTCCTCCTGCCCCGGGGCGGGCCATGCCCACCCCCACTCCTCCGCTCCCCACCCCACACACACACCCAGAGGGACCCTGCCCCAGGCTGCCGCCTTGCAAACGGAGCCACGGAGCCCACGGCTTCTTAGGACGGGGAAGTTCCCGCTGCTTGGCGCGGTGAGTGGGGCGCTGGGGCAGCTCGCTCGTCCACAGGGCTGCGTGGAACTCCTCCAGGGCTGGTTCCCCAGCTTGTGGACACGCGCTTGGTCCCGTTTTTCTATCTGAGATGGTCCAGGAGGGGCCCCGTGTCTGCCTGCCGCTGCGCAGGTGGGAGAGAGTCCGGAAGAGGCTCTGGGAGCCGGGGGCCGGGGGCCGGCCAGTGTCTTCAGCTTCTGGGTTGGGTTTCTGCGGATTCACTCAACAAAACCTCACTCTAGAAGCCAGAGATGCGGGTGAGGATGCCTTGGAAACTTTAAAGTGCCTGCACCCCGAGAAGCTGTATTTGAGGAGGCCCCTCTCGGGGCTGCAGGGGGCTGTGGGCGACGGTCCAGGCACTTTGGTTGTCCCGAAAGGGACAGTTGGAGGCCATCTGGCGGAGCTCTGGACGCCGCTCCCTGGGTCCCCTGGCCACCCCTGAGACGCAGGGCCCTGTGTGTCCCGGTCTCTCCTATCAGAGGCTAAAGCATCTCCCAGCTGACGAGGGTCTGAGGGCAGGGGAGTGGCCAGATACGCACCATTCCCTAAGTCTCCAGGGACATGAAGACCCCCTGGGGGAGCAGGGCTCTCCCAGGTGTGACTCTGGGCAGGGGTGCTTGCAGGTGTCTGTACGGGCAAGTGGGCTGCCCTGCGCCCCTCTCCCTCCCGGGGAGCAGGACAGGGTTAGGGGAGACCCTGTCCCTCGCTGGCCTGGAGGAAATGCTCCTTCCCAACAGATGGATGGATAGATGCGTTGAGTCCTCAGGGCTGCTCCTGCCTACAATGCCCCGGCCCCTGGTCGTCAGCCCTCTGCTTGCATACCTCCTGCAATGGGGAGATCACCACCCCCTGCATTAGTTTGCTAGAGCTGCTGTCACTAAGTACTACACACTGAGGACGCCATAGTTCTGCAGGCCAGAGTCTGAAATCAAATTGTGGGCAGAGTCCATTCCTTCTGGGGTCTCCGAGGGAGGACCGTTCCCACCTCTTGCTGCTTCCGGGGGCTGCTGGTGATTCTGAGTCCCCTGGCTTGTGGCCACGCCGCTGCGACCCCTGCCTGTCTTCACGGGGCCTCTCCCCCGTGTCTGTGTCCCCTGCTCTGTGTCTCCTAAGGACACTCACCTCATTCAGAACGATCGCAAGATCTTTACCTTAATTATATCTGCCAAGACCCTTCATCTTTTCACAGGGACTGGGGCCAGACCTTTGACGTATTTTGGGGGATACACAGTTGGGCCCAGGACCCCCTCTACAGGGCGGATGCTGGAGGACCAGGAAGCCCCTCCCAAGGCCGGCTGACCGCCGCCTCCCTGTCTCCGGAGGGTGAGTTCCAGTCTCTCCTGTGTCCCCCCAGGAGGCAGCGTGAGCCCCTTGAGGGCAGGGGCAGCGGTGTGGTGGCCCCGAGCTGGTCCACAAATACGCTGGAACGAGGGCAAGAGGGACGAGCCTGGCTCCCCAGGGAGTAAAACGGGGTGACAGGGCCCCAGTTGCGGGGTGCTGGCAGGT